TTGTATGTTATGTAATTTGAATTTAAAATTTTTTACTTTTAATAAAAAAAGATCACAAATGAATTACTTAAGTTATTGCCTAAATATTAATTTTTTAATACAAATTAATGGTTAAAAGTAACATATGATGGAAGAGCACATAACCATAATTAGATAGGAGGAGAATTGAACTACCTCTAATTAAGCGTGAGATTTTTTCTAATATATATTTTAAGATGTATTTATTATATATTTTTTTTATTAATTTATAAGAAAGAACATAAAAGAAAATATTAATTTCAATACTAATGTTACGTAAGTAACTTTAATTGAATCATTGATAAAATAAAAATTAATAATGTTGCGCAAGCAGGTATCCCTGACGGAACCATCAGTTTCACTTATCTTTCAGAGAAATATTTTTCTTGAATTTTCGAATTTTGATTTGGATGGCTAACCTTGTTTTAAAAGGATTTTTCTAATTTTACTCCTTAGGCACAAGCTAATGTTCAAGGTGTAATTAATTAATCTTTTAATCTTTAATTTACATTAAAAAATACAAAAGTTAATATTAAGTTTAGTTGGATTACCATGATTTTTATTTAAATAATTAATAAATTAAATATTAATTTTTATTTTTTTAATATAAATTAATTGTTCAAAAGTAACTCACTAAACTAATAATCTAGTGGTAATCTTTTTTTTTTTTGTTGAAAATAAAAAAGTCTAAATTTAAATCATATGGTATATAGATGTGATAAAATAAGAGATGAAAAAAAAATAACTTCACCTTGTGCAATCAACATAAAAAAATTTTTTCTTTTAAAAAGTAACATATGCTTAAGAGCATATATCCATAACTAGATAGGAGGAGAATTGAACTACCTCTCGGTGAGGAAAAGATTTTTTTATAATATATGTTTTAAAGTGCATTTATTATATTTTTTATTAATTGATATGAAAGAATATTAAAAAAATATTAATTTTAATACTAATATTATGTCAATAATTTTAATTAAATCATTAATAAAGCAAAAATGAACAGTTATTTTTTTGACAAAAGGTGCAGATCACCCCCTAAACTAAACAACTGGTGGCAAATCACCCCCTCAACCCATTTCACGCGCAAATCAACCCTTCAACTCACCTGCAGTGGCAAATCAGCCCCTCTCTTAACCCTTCCGTTAACATTTAATAGTCTGCTCATCAGCCCTTC